ATAGGCCATTTAAAGCATTAAGGAGTCAGATGGGAGGGGAAGGAAATAGCCCACGATCCCCACTCCCTGCCAGCCTGGGGGAGACACAAAGCCATTTTATACTATTACCAAGCACCCTCCAGCCCACTGCTGTGCTAGGATGAGGCGATGTGGGGGACTGGAGGGAGAAGAAGGGGGAGTGTTTCGCTCAGCACTTCATTATCCTCTATGCCGAGCTGAATGGAGCTGGTTGTAGTTAGAAAATGAACACGCTGGCTCTACATAGCAGAGGCCAGCCTCGCAGGGTCACCACTAGCTCCAGGGAACAACTGGGTTAACAGACTAGGAAAAAGAGAGGGGGAAAATCAAAGCGAGCAGCATATGTCATGCATCAGCCCTGACAGCAAAGGCTCCCGTCACTGTCTGCCGGGGAAGCTGGGATCCTGCGCGCTGGCACAGGCAGTCTATTCAGTGCTTCAGCCTGCTGAGTAACCAGGCACTGGGCAAGCCGTGGGGTGGGGTCTGCGCTCCAGCAAGCTCCCCGATGTGCTGGCTGCTGTTTGTACGCATGGGAAGGTGCAGGCCTTGCTCCAAGACACTTGCGTGGAAAGCCCTGCCAATCTCCCTCGGTCCTGACCCGCAGCCTACCCTCACACTCTGCCACACGCCCAGGCCGGGGCAATCTGTGAACACAACCGCCCCGCTCCTCTGGACTGCATGACGACTGCCAGAAATGGCCACTGGTTGCCCCAGCCCAGCAGACTTCATCCCACATGCTGCCATTCAACCTGAGATCTCCAAAGGTGCATTCATCCTCACTCAGTTTCCCAAGTCACAGCTTGTTTCCTTGTTACAGCTGTCTCGGGGACCAAGATGGCCATGGTTGTACGCCATGGGACTGTACAGGGAACTGTAATGGAGAAGAAACCATTATAGGACACAGAGGTGTGGCTTAGTGGGAGACATGACATCCCTGATTCTTTCTTTTGCCCAAAACGATTCCTTCTGGCCTCAGGCAAGTCACGAGTTTCATCCCCCACACCCACAGCCTGGCCTGAAGACATGCCCTAGAGCAGCAAGTCAGGAGAGCCGGGTTCCAGTTGTGATTGCCCCCAGTGTATATTGTGAATAAAGATAAACCAGTTCCCCATTTTACAGACAGGGAAACTGAGGCGAAGAAAGGTGCTTTTCCTTAGTTAACCAACATCTTAGCTTAAGTCATTTAGCCCCGGTTTGGTGCTCACGTAGGTCAGCACTGGGTTTCCGCTACCTTCTCTGACCGGGGAAGTCCAGTTAATTGGAATGAGAGGTCATCTATCAGGACGTCCCATTAAAGCAGATTCTGCTGTAAAACACAAGGCTGTGACAACGATTAGCATTCACCTGTCTGACCGTGAAGTCTTGGTTCCTGGCACCTGGATTTTAAAGTAGTTTCATGGCAGGCACACAGGGGTCTTAGGACAATGCTATTTTGTCGAAGCTCAAGTCACTCACAGCTGGTGCAGCCCACAGGGGATGCCAAGAAGGCCAAAGATAAATGTGGAAGGGGACCCTGAACCAAAAAGCCCAATACATGAACAACCCAGGGAGCCAGGAACGTTTGAGCTCACCCCTGGGCCACAGTGCAGTGTGGATGTGTGCAGGTCTGAGATCCAGGCAGACAGGCATGTGAAGATCCACTTTTGCAGCTAAGCTGAGCTTGATGCAAAACCTGGAGGAAGCAAAAGTGGCAGCATGTCACATTTGCACTTTGCCTGTTCTGGGTCTGACACAGTTTGGCCTCAAGTGGTGGTTGGAACCAGTGGCGGTAGGCTTGGCCAGCCCTAGCGTGCCCTCGTCTCCTGAGGCCTGAAGGGCTTTTCTGACAGCTGAGAACAGCTAGAGCACAAAGATGCTCTGGTCATATCCCCACGCCCTTCATCTGGGACAGCACAGAGATACGTGGAGGGAGAGTTCCTCGAGAACCAAACCTGCCAAGACTCACAGCCTCTCCTGGGCCAACAGAGCTGGCACAAAGGGGCCACAGCGCACCCGGCCCAGACCGCACGGAAAAGCCAAAGCGCTGGTGAGACGGCGAAGGCGGCACAATGAAAAAAGCCACTCTCTGCTGGAGGGTTGGGGCGGGGGGAGAACCACATGTCAGTTCGGGCCCAAGTTTGTAGCTGCTTTCAGGCTCTGCATGCGCTGTCCCAGAGCCCCTTTCCCCTGTGGCATGCCACTCTGAAGTCGCATTGAGTGCTAATGCCCTTGGGCAGCTTATTTGCTTAAACTCTGGCAGCTGGTGGGGTTTTAATGTTTAACAAGTCTCCAGGCATCATCTCCCTGAACCAGACATTGGGGGCAGGGGTTTGCTGGCTGGCACTTAAGCGCGTAAGTTTAACTTCATCAAGGGCTGATGAGGCTTTAGGACCGGGGCTTCTGTGCAGCAGCGACACCCAAACAGACCGTGGACCTGAGCGACTGAAAGAAAGGGTGGGGCACTGCTCGACAATCCCACTGCATCCTAAGAGACTGGAGAAACGGATCAGATCTCCGAATCGCCCCCCACCTCCCCCCCCGATTTCCTTGAGGGAGGGTGGATCAGAGATGAGGCTGCTATTGCCTGTGGTCTCGGACAAGCGGCGGAGAGAGATCAGAGCCAGCCCTCAGTTAACCAGCTATCGCCCTGCCAGCGATCGCGCCCACCTTTTGCTGCTCCGAACCCACTCGCGAGCCCACGGCGCGGCTTCCAGTAGCGGAGGGAGACGCACAGAAAGTTGAGGCCGAGCAGTTGGTGCAAACTGGGATTGTGCGTCCGCCTGGAAATGGACTGGAGCGTCGGAGCAGGCCAATGGGAAGCGGGGAGTATGATGTCATCATGCTAATCACAGCATGGCTCTAGCTAACAAAGAGAACAATGGGGCTGCCACACTACCCCACTTCCAAGCAGGAAAAATGCACACGGACCCCCACGAACCCCAGCGATTGCACGGAAACCATCGGCGCAAGTCGCAGCCCTCCCCAGGGCTGAGCGGGAGAGCGGTCCGGGCTGAAAAGTGAGGGTGGAAAGACCAAAAGCACCGGTGGTCAGCCTTCAAAAGAAGCATAACCAGAGACCTCTACCCCGCTCCCCCCCAGGCGAGCGGCGGGGCACTTCTGCAGCTGGCGCGGGGCTTCCTACGAGGCAGGACTGAAAGACGACCGGGTCTTTTCTAATCTCTAGGAACAAAGCCCGCTCCAGGCGCCTGCAGGGGACACGCTGCCCAAGTGCCAAGGCGTGCCCTTGCGTCCTTTTGTGACAGATTCTCGCCGTCCGGGGTGTCCACCTCCCTCCTGGAGACATTTTAAATCAGTGTTCAGAAGTGATCTATCCCGTTTCCATCCGCCAAGCTTGAGAGAGCTTAAAAAAGCACATGACGGTAACCAGGGGAGACATCCCTTATAGCAAACTAAATAAATACACGGGAGGCTCGTCCTCCACGGCAGGGCCCACGACAGACTTTGGGGAAGTGCGAGCAGCCGCCCCACCGGCACCGGGGAAGGCAGCTTGGTCCTCAAGTCCCATGAAAAGAAGTGGAAAGAGTCGCCCCCCCCAGCAGGAAAGAAACCAGGAGCTGGAACTGACCCGAGCAGAAACCTCGGCTCCTCGGCCACAAAGCAAGGCCCGCGGACGGAGGGGCCGGGGCCGGGGACGTTACCTTGCCGCCCCACGATCTCGGCGACGTGCTCGGAGCTGGGCACGGGGACGCACTCCGTCATGTTCACGCTCTTCTTCCGGCTGCCCAGGAGGCTCATCGGCTCGGCCAGCAGCGGGTGCGGCAGCGGGAAGGTGCCAAAGGCGTCCGGGGCGGGGGCGGCGGCCGGGGGGGGGCTCGCACCTGGCTCCAGCCGG